CCTCAAAAAATATCGGTAGAGACACATCCACCCCTAAAAAAAAATCAGGGACAAATTACCCATTCAAATCATAAATCAATACAAATCACCCTTTTGTCAATGAAAAACGTCATAATTCTGTTTGTTACGTCAGCATTTTTTAACGAAAAACGTTGAAAAATGGATTATTTGTATTGATTTATGATTTGAAGAGACAATTTGTCCCTGCTTTTTTTTTAGGGGTGGATGTGTTTCTACCGATATTTTTTTGGGTAGATTTGAGGATTCTACCAATAAAATTAATATTAATTCTTTATTCTTTTTTCCTTCTCTTCCTTTTCCGTTCCTTTCCTTCACTTTCCATTGTTAATATTTATCCAAACATATCCTTAGAGGTTTCTAATTAATGAACCCATTCAATCATCCTCATTTGTGCAATTTCAGTGTTATTTTATTTACATGCTTTTCCTTTAGAGTTTTACTTAGACTTAAGTTTTAGAATATTGTTGTTTTGTAGTTGTAGATTTTTTTTATTTTTAATATTTGAAATATATATAAATATATATAATATATATAATATTTATTTTAATTAATATTTTATATATTTTTAAAATAATAAAAGAATAAAAACTAAAAAGTAAAATATGGAAAGATGTTATCAAACACAACCTTAACTGTTTCTTGTGTCCTAGAGTTTTACTTAGTTGTTTTTTTGCATAGAGTTTTACTTATTCGCATATTAAGTGTATCAATTATTTTATTTTTATTTTAAAGTGGAGAAAGGAGGGAATGAGGAAAGCAGAAAACAAGAATTAAGAGGTTGTATTATTTAAGAGTTTGTCTAATCTATACTCTTTAGGCATTAGTTATGGGTGCATTAATGTCTACTTTGTATGAAATCTTACAAGAATTAAAATTATGATTTGGATTTTTAGAGGAGATATTTGGAGTTTCAAAAATATTTAAGTAAGTCATCCACGTTGGCATTAGGAGCAGACCAATCTGGAATAAGATTTTGCACTTTTTCTCATAATTTCCTCTACCTCTTTTCCCCTCAACTAACTTTTTTCTCTCCCCCTAAACACCCCTGATTCTCTTGTTGATATCAAACCAACATATCTTCAGTTTTCTAATTTCCTCATTCCCTACTTCCTCTACTTTGAGAAAGGGATTGATGAAAATAAGAATGTCCTTTCTCTATATAAAGTATTTTTTACACCTTTGGTTGAGCTTAAAATTAATTAAAAACTGTTTAATTCCTATAATAGTTACAATGTTTTTCACATTAACATGCATGTGTCTCAAAATTAAAAAATAATTTTATAAGCATGACCCTCTTTTTGGCCCAAGGCTTTATGTAATGTAAAAGGGCAAGTCCACCATTGAAGGTGGTTAGTCCCCAAGAACAAAGTCATTCCTCGTGGGACATTGTTTTCTCATTTAGTCTAGGGTTTTGGTGTAAGGCATTGAAGGTCTGCATGGCAGTGTCACAAAGTTTTGATCTGGGGATGTTAGAGTGTGCAGCTAGGACCATTTTTAGTGCCAACCTATGCTTACTATTGCTCGATGGATGGAGGGTTAGGTTGGTTGTCCATGGGAGGTTGGAATTGATAAAGTATTATATATTAGTGAAGGGCAATTGTGTAATTCTGTCCATTATATGCTGTATATATATGAGTTTGATCAATAATAATACTCACGGCATTCACACTGTTTTATGGTATCAGAGCTACGAATTAGGGCATCAAATTGATTAGCTTCTCCTAGGTTTTCCGCCGTCTAGGTTTCCTCTTTTCTTCTCTAGTTTCTTTGTGTCTTGTATTCATGGCGTCTTCTTCAGCCCTTACCACCACCACTACTCCAGTGATCTCTTCTGAATCAACACTTCCCATTATCCCTGTCCTTAATCCTGTCATACCAAATACAAATTCCTCAATTTTTACTCATCCTGTGTTCTCAGTCTCAAATATTAAACATCTTGTCCTTGAAACATTGACCCATCAAAACTTTATGCTTTGGAAAGAACTCATGATTCCTGTTCTTCGCAGCAAAGGAGTTTATGGACATGTTGACGGATCCGATCCGTGCGCATCACCTATGGATTCCACTTTTGAGCAATGGCACCAGATAGACTGTCAAGTTCTCTCCTGGATTCAATCTACTATTGCTTCTGAGGTTCTTCAAATGATTATTCAACCAGGAAGATCACTTACTGCAAAGCAAGCATGGGATGCGATTCAAGAATCTCACCAAGACCAACTTGTTGCTCAGTCCATGTTATATCGTCAGGAGTTCATGGCGTTAAAAAAGGAACCAGAACAATCTATGATCTCATATCTTCAACGTGCCAAGACTGCTTCCGATCGACTATTTGGAATTGGTGAATCTGTTTCTGATCGAGATCTGGTTTTGCATACTTTGGCTGGACTTGATTCT